TCTATAAAATAATTTTAAAAATTAATAACATTTGTTTTCATGGTTTTGAGTTCTTTAAAAGATGCTCTATGCATTTGCTTAATTGTTTATTGTAAAATAAAAGAAAACAAAAATTTTTTATCATTATTCTATTTTAATGGAAACATTTTAATCAATAGTTATGATTCTTTATTTACAATTTATGTATTATTTTTTTTAATGGTCATTTAAACTTTAAATTAATAATTATTAAAAATGCAATCAAAAGAAAGTGGTCAATATAACGTGAAAATATCAACGGTTTGATAACAAATCATTCATTGGAATATAATTCTTTAGACCAAATATCCACGCTGAATAATAAATTCAAAATATTATTCCCTTTTGATTGCCTCTTAGTTTGTGTATAAGTTTACGAAAAATTATCACCAAGTTAAATCAACAATGAACTCTATATATTTTATCAAAACGACTCTAAAATAAAAACAAAACAGGAATTTTTTTAACATGAATACCTGAAAGTTCTGATAAATTGATTTTAAATAGAATAAACATTAAAAAATTTGATTTCTTCAATATAATTTCTGAATATGTAGGCAAACTCTATATCTTACAGTTATTATTGCCATTTATTATGTTGAAGGATTTTAATGCACTTTTCGTAAATAATTATTTGTTATAGTGGCAATGTAAATGTCCTTTTCATAATTTGCATTATTTAAAAATTCCAAGAATTTAAAATTGAGTTCAGTTTGTTGACGCGCAAAATCAATTAAAAGAGTTTTTAGATTCAATCAAGAAATAAAAGAAAGTGGGATAAACAACAGCAGATTAAAACGAAAGACGTTTTTGAGTCAAAATAAACTCACATTACGTTCACCTTGCCTGCACAATAGGCAATAAAGATTTCCACTTTTATCTCTCTGGAGATGCAGTAAATCCATTTGCGGTTGCAGATGCGAAACGACACTCTGCTTTTATTGATTTGCATATACATATACCTGCTAAGGAATAGTTGCAAGTCCCCAAGTGGAAATCCTGGCGCGCGCGGCGACGGGCACGCCTAAATGATTTATGCGCCGACTAATACTAGAGGTGATATTTTAATTTCTATCCAGCGCGTATAATTTATAATGCTCAAAGTTGGATGGAGAGCTGCGGCGCGATTTTCACGACTCCTTTGGGAAAAAGTTTCGTGCGCCTCCTCTGCGTGCCAACCCAGCCAACATGCCGCACAATCAATAATAATTATCATGCCCGTGCATTTCTTTTGCTCTGCTGTGTCGAGTAATTTCCACCTGCTAGCTTTTGAAACAAACTCCCTTTGAGGCCTGTGAGCACCACTCCAGTCCGGGATTTGCGCAAAAGAAGGAAATTCCTCGCGCTCCGTTTTTTTCCTCCCTCTCGCAGCATTTTTAATATCGCTCTGATGGAAATGAAATAAAACGGCCACGTCGCCGAGCTGCTTTTTTCAAACGCAATCCGGCCAGCATGTGACGATGACACTTCACTTTGCGTACAATTTATTCGCATCTGACGCGAATTTACTCTTGTTCCTCGCGCGTGTTTCAATCTTTCGAATCACGCCAGCACTGTATAAATATGCGCAACCGAGCATTTCTCTCTTTGTTTCCAACGCTTCACTGATGCTTTCCAGGCGCAAACTCGGTGGCAGTAATTTAAACCTTAACACTCGCGACATAAAATGCTGCAATTCTTAATGCCCATCTATTCTGTTGCTCTCATTGTTTCCTATTTTAATAATTTGATAAAAGCAATAAAAAGCACAAAATATTTTTAAATATTTGTGAAGCTTCACACGTTATTAATTTAATTTTATTTTATTTTTTTTTTGTTATTTTATTACATATAAAAATTAAAATTTTAATTCTTAATTTATAATATTTATTCTTTTATAATTATTAAAATAATTAAAAATAAATATTTAATATTGAAAATATATATTAATATATAAATATATAAAAATAATTAATATAAAATAAATAATATTTATTTTTTAACCCAAATTTTTTAATTACGAATTTGTGTTCTGCCAAATTGTATGTAAAATCAAGTATTAACCATATTAGAAACGGATTCTTGCTAGAAATGGTGCCGTTTTGTCCAACAATTCCAATTTTTAAATAAATTGTTTTCAACAATTGAATGTAAACAATGTATTAATGCATTTGTAACAATTAGGGCTAAAATACAACAATAATAATAATGACAGAAATAAAAAAATTTAACTAATACAAATCACTTTATTATCTTATAATTCTTTCAATTATGCATCATATTTATATTTCAAGCATTTCTCCAAGAATTAGTTTTTATTATATGTAAAAGTTTGAAATATTCCCTACATTATATTTGAGTAATTTTGCCAAACCTAGGAAGCAGCACCAAACAATAATCAAATCCACACCAATCAAAGCAAACAACTCAATTTAATAGGGCAGACCACGCTTTTCATTTCGCAACAACGAAAAGCCATTAGACCGGTTGGAAGCGCTGACTGGCGAGTTTGACATTTGCTCCGTCAAATCCGAGAGTGACATTTCAACGCCCAAGACCCGAGGGATTTTAAAATGTCATCGACGCGCGGCGGCGGCAATAAATGAAATATGCCAACGGCGTCGTCAAGTTTTTCAAATCGCCCTCTGCAATCCCTCGACTGACAATAAAATAATGATAAAAATAACAAACGTGGTGCCACATTTATTAATATTTCCTCTCGTCAGACGAAATGTATCACAAAAGCCAAATACACGCGGAGGGGTATATTTTAATTGCATGGGAGGCCCGCTTGAAATCTCATCTCATTGTCCGCGCGCTCTTTTATGAAAGATGTTGGCCAGGCTTTAGCGCCTCCTTCGTACAATGGCCACCTTTGTTCCTGCTTATTGTGTTTTATTATTGCCACCGCTCTCTCTCGCACTCGCACATCACAATGGCTCAAGTCAAAATGAGATTCCCGCCACTCAAACACACGCATAATACATGTGCAAAGCTGCGAGATGATGATTAACTGCAGGCGCTGATATAAATCTTTTATTCCTCTGCGAGCCAAAACGACCATTAACTGACACAATTAAGGAAAAGGCAGCAAATTCAGCACTCTTAAAAATGAAATTAATTCAATTTTATTTTCATATTTTTCTGATTTTCCTTTAACATTTATATAGTTTTTAGGGCTTTGGATAAATTAATATTTTAGTTTTGAATTTTAATTTAAATAAGTGGCAAAAACTTCATTCGTCAATTTTTATAAAATAATAACTTAATAATTTAGAATAGGGGTTAAAAATCAACTAACTTAGTAAGATCTGGCAACGTAATTTAAAGTAATTAAAAGAACTTCTTGCGTGTCAATTTTGATTGGAGCTAATAAACATTAAAATCCTAAATTTCGCTCAACCTGGGGAAGTTAAGTACCAATTTTTTCAGTTCTAGATAGTACAAGAGATACGAAACACTGCCAAAAGGAAAAAAATCAGTTTTTTCTATTATCCGTTAGCCATAAATTATTATTGATCAATATTTAATATATTATTATTTACTTTTATACTTTCCAATATTAATATATTTTTTACTATTTAGAACATGTTAAAGAATTATATTTTAATAAATATTGCAGTCATAATATTAATTAATTCACTGCCAATAGAGTTTATTCCCGACTTGGCAACACAGTGAGCGAGGCTGCTTATTTAGCGTCCGACTGATAGGATTGGAGGCTCTCGCTGTAGTCACAAAGTCTGAATAGCGCTCACCATATTATACAATATCAATCAGCTGAGAGCCAGCAGGGTGAAGAGTAGCGAGTAATTAGCAGTCTGTTAATGGGCTGACGAGACGAGTTAGCAGGTGACACCGTGATTATCCACTCTCCAGCTGATTAATAATTGACAAACGGCCTGCAAAGGTTAGACGGAAGTAAAATTGCGCTCGGATCAAGCCATGGTGTAAACACACAGGAGCTCCAACTTTGATAATTACCCCCTGCGGATGCCGTAATTACGTGCGAGGGCTGAGATTTTCATTCTCAATCTAGCCAAGTGCAAAGACAGCAGATTATCCTGCTCCTCAAGAAGAAGAAGACAAACCCGAGGGGGATTATTTAATGAGCGGGGAGGTGCTTTTGCTGCACACCCTCGGGTGCAGCGCCAAAGGAAAGTGTCGAGCGGCGCTTTTCGCAAAACATCCCAGGAAAAGAGTGCAGGTGACTCGAATCCTGTTCTAATTCAGGATGATGCGGTTTTAACTGAACAGACTAGGTGCGTAGGATGGCGACCGCAACGTATCAATTCTCATCATCAACTTTGTCTTGAGTTCATATAATTAGGCACGAAAATTCAACCGAATGATCTAGATTGTTTTAATTCTAGAGAAATCTTCGTTCACAATTTTGTTTGCCTTTAAATTACATATGCTTATAAAATTAGTTTAATTTAGCTTTCTTTACGTTGAGGGTTTCAGGTGACAAAAGAATAAATAAAAAAAAATTAGCAGATATTTGGCAGTTTGGTACATAATTACAGAAAAAATGAATGCTAAAAAAATTATATAATTTTTGCGTGAAATATATCATATTGATGCATATTAAAAACCATCAAAAACGATTTGGTTTACTAATTATTTTTTTTTTTTTCATTAAAGGTGTAATTAATTTTTAATTTAGTCTGTTTTTCTATTAAAATAAACTTTCAAATATTATAATATTTCCATTTCCATTATTGTATTATAAGAGCAACAACAACTACATTTTACGTGGGCAAGAAGTAGAATTAGAACACATTGCCAGACGTCAATTGAGTTTCATTAGTTTGTTTTATATCAGCAGCATCTTCAGGATGTAAAGCAGTTTATTTTTGAACGATTTTATTTTATAGTGGTGCGGCGCCTTGCAAAGCTCGGCAGCGCTGCTCTTTTCCAGGAAATTAAATTTAGGCACCGGTCGATATCCGTTATCTGAAACTATGTATAATAAATATGTGTGCCTGGCGTTTGTGTTGCAGGTTGCGTGGCTGCGAGTTGACACCCAGACCATCCTGACCATACACACCCACGTGATCACGAAAAACCACCGCATTGGGGTGACCCAGAGTGACCACCGCTCGTGGTACCTGCAGATAAAAGAGGTCAGGGAGGCGGACAGGGGTTGGTACATGTGCCAGATCAACACTGACCCCATGAAGAGCCACGTCGGATACTTGGAGGTTGTAGGTAAGTTGCAATTACAGCTTTTAATTTTTTTTTCAAATTGAAGGCGATTTTTAATTCTTTTTAATTTTTAATCCATAAATTTATTGCGGAGATGATGAGGTTTAAAATGTAATATTTAAACAAATTATAAATTATTTTTCATTGAAAATAGTTTATCATAAGATAGTAAATTTTTCAATTGTACTGGTTTCATGTGAAATTTTCATTTTAATACATATTACGTTTTTAACTACAATTCATTTATGTATATTGATTTATATAATAAGTATGTAGAAAATAAAAATATATTTTATTTATATATCGCTCATACAGCGGCTAAATGGACAAAATGAAATTTACAATTGAGACGTTTGGTTAGTTTGAAATTTTCAATATCAACGATTGGTCATTTCACGATTTACAGGCACGGGTGTTCTAATCGAGAAAAACAGCGTTATTTGTGTGTCAACGGGAAAGTGATTTTTGAGAGCGTCTAAAAAATGGAAATTTTGAGATTTCAAGGGTGGTCAGTCATGAAATTAGTTGATTTAATTTATATTTATGCGGTAAAAGTATAGGAAAAATCCGGATTTCCCGGAAAAGTGAGTTATAAGGAGGTTTGACAAAAAATTCATATCTCAGCTTCTAATTGAGATAAATTCAAAAATTTAAAGCGAAAATGCAGCTCAAGACATGCCCTTTCTCGGGAATGGGTAGGGTCGGTAGGGATAATTTTCAAGGCCGTGTTTCTTAATGAGGGTGAGGTGATAAAAATTGAGGGGTTGTAAAACAAATGTTATGCAACTTGCAGAACGTTGGAAAAAATTACAAAGGAACCTCATCATATGAGACAACAACCCCTCATAGGGCGAATATTTCCTGCAACCCCTTAGTATTGAAAATAAATCCCCGAAATAGGTCCATTTTGGCCATATGAGACACATATTCAAGAATTAATTACAATACTAAGGGGTTGCAGGAAATATTCGCCCTATGAGGGGTTGTTGTCTCATATGATGAGGTTCCTTTGTAATTTTTTCCAACGTTCTGCAAGTTGCATAACATTTGTTTTACAACCCCTCAATTTTTATCACCTCACCCTCATTAAGAAACACGGCCTTGAAAATTATCCCTACCCATCCCCGAGAAAGGGCATGTCTTGAGCTGCATTTTCGCTTTAAATTTTTGAATTTGTCTCAATTAGAAGCTGAGATATGAATTTTTTGTCAAACCTCCTTATAACTCACTTTTCCGGGAAATCCGGATTTTTCCTATACTTTTACTGCATAAATATAAATTAAATCAACTAATTTCATGACTGACCACCCTTGAAATCTCAAAATTTCCATTTTTTAGACGCTCTCAAAAATCACTTTCCCGTTGACACACAAATAACGCTGTTTTTCTCGATTAGAACACCCGTGCCTGTAAATCGTGAAATGACCAATCGTTGATATTGAAAATTTCAAACTAACCAAACGTCTCAATTGTAAATTTCATTTTGTCCATTTAGCAGCTGTATGAGCGATATTATAATATAACATAATTTTTTATATATAAAATTATTATGATCATTTTTTATTTTTTTAATTATGAGTACAAAAAAGATTTTTAATTTATAATGTTTTTTTTTCAAACAGGCAACAGCCTTTTTAAATAATGTATGTGATTTTTACACGCGAATTGTTTTATAAGTCATTTAAATATTTTCAAATTTGTTTATAATAAATGTCAGATTTGACAGAGTTTGCTATGAGTTTGAGGCAGACCAATATATGACTCCTGCGTCGAGCACTGATGGGAAAAATGCGATAATATGAAATTTGAAGTATTAATTCATTTACTTATCCAAAAATATAATTGCTTAGAATTATTTTAAAATTGTGCATTTGGCATCCTTTGAAAATAGTATATCATTTTTCCATTAACTCTTTTTAAAATTAATAATTGCAATTGCGCCAATTTTGAAATCAAAAATTTCACTCATCATTCTTGCATAAAAAGAAAAGAGAGGGTTATTTATTATTAGAAAAATAGGTAAAGGATTTACTCGGAGGGATTTCCATTCGATTTGCCCGACTGTCGTGTTCTCCATTAACCGATATCAAGAGAGGGATTTGGAATTTTGGAAAAATTAGTTGGTTGATATAAGTCGTAAGTGGGTCTGAGCTTATTTGGCAGGCAGGGGAGCTCGGCACTCACTCATCTTTTCATGTATTGCTGGTGGCCTAGCCGCGCACAAAAGGCGGCGCCGCACTCCATGAATGTGCTAATGCCATTTCTTGTTACAAGCCGGGATTGCTGGTGAGAGATAGATGATGGAATTCTTGTCACAAGTAGCGACCTTTCCGAATGGAATTCCATTAAAAAAGTGCTGCTCACCCTTTCTTGGGCTTTCCGACAACAGGCTGCGAGCTCGCAGCATGGAAATGGGGTGGGTTTTTTTCATTTCATTTGGAGAAGGATTTATTCGCGTGATGACGGGGGGCATCGATGACATTTCCTTTCCCTGCCGCTTGTGTACTATTATACATCGCTCGTCCCGACTTTTTATCATGCTGCAGAGGGAAAGATACATAATGGCCCTATTGTTTTATTTATTGTCGCCTCTGCTGTGACATTCACCGTGCCAAAAGCGCGCTGCAGCCCATATTTATCGTCCCCCGGTTCTGGCTCCACCAGATCATGGTGTTTCATTTTTATTTTTTCCCCAATTTTTTTTTTTTTTGCCAAACGCCAAATGGTATGTGATTGGTTTTTGTTCAATATTTTGTTTTGCGGCAGTACAAGTGTTTCATGGATATGAATTTATTAATATTGCATGCGTAATGAAGGAGGAAAGAAAATTTTCAAAGACGTCATTAAACCAGGAAACGTGTGGTAGATTTAATCTAAATATGAATTTACACACACCGCAGTTCACTGCGTTGTCAGTCTCGGACGAGAATTGTCACCATGAAATCACTGCTGTTCCTACTTTTTGCATCAGCCATAATGTCAACAGGTAAATTTCTGCAATTTTAAATATTAAAATATTTAATACCAGGCAACAAAGCCTTGATAGAAAAAGTGCAATACTGTTGAAGGTTTTAATACAATTTATTTTAAGAATTAACTTTACTGTCATAGAAATATCATTCTTGTTGATTTAAAGCTTTTTATTTACTAAAATTCTTTTACATTTATTAAAATTTTGTATAAATTTCGTTGTAAAAATTAAATTAAATTAAGATTAACAAAATAATTATGTTTTTTTTCTATATTTTTGGTTACTTATTATTAATAATATATTTTTTAATTGGTACAATTCTTCTCTTTTTAAAATTTTTAAATTTGTACCAAGTTAGTAGAATAAAAAATATAAAATTAAAATTCTTTCACTATTTTTGTATACATGACTCCAGTGCATCTTAAAATATTCATGAATGTGTATTTAAAAATGCAGCCTTCAGTGGGCTTCCTGATTGTGATTTGTACTTGGACAACTGCTCCACTTGTAAGGATGACCAGGAGTGTCTTTGCGATGACCATAACAATTACTTTGCCTTGTAACAAAGAGTATGGAAACTCCTTTGGATTTGTAGAAGTTTTTGATGTTGCCAGTAAGTTTTGCAAACTCTTATAGCGATCCAAACACTTCATGATTTTAAATTAATTTTTTCAGATGAGAATTTCTTTTGTAAAAGCACTAGATTTGCATCAGGTTCTGAGAATAAAACCCAACGTAAGGACGATTTGACGATTTGTACCACTGTCGAGAGTTTCCAGAACATTTTAGTGACCTCTCGCTGCACATCAAAAACGAAAATTCGCAACAAGGAGGATAATTTGCTCATTGAAAAATTGAACAATTTGGTGGACAATTGTTTAAACAAGTGTCCAGAAACGAAGTTTTGCCCTGAAGTGAAGCAACATTTCCAAAATTTGACCAAACTTCTTGAAAATGCAATTCAGATTTACCAAAAATCCACAGGCGATGAATTAATATTTCCATACCAATCGACAACCAAGCGTTCCAAACCTATCACAACCCCAAGCACGCCGGTCAAAATGGACTCGAGTGAATTAAAAAATTGCACGTGCCCCACAAACTACCAGAGTGAGATCTTTTCCAAGGCCCTTATCTGGTCTCTGGCGGCGTTGAACGTTTTTCTTTTGTTTGTTTTGTGCATCATTGCGGTTGTGAAAATCGTCAAGGTTTCGGCACACAAGGATAAAAAGGAAGTGGTTGTGTACGACGATTGTCAGCACGCGAGCGCAGTCACGTTCGACTATCCCGAGGTAGTGGCGCTTCGGCAGCGCAACGACAGCACCTCGGAAAAGGAAAATACGGGCTCCGCACAACAGGATAATGTGGCTTATGATTACGCGTACGACCACGTGGTCGGTGTTCCTCAGCAACTTCCGCAAAGCAGCGCGGAGAGTGCGATTTACACGAGCATCCAAGCCGCTCCGAATCCATTTTTCGTCGAGCTGAACAGTAAAGTGCAACTGCGTTCGAACAAGAGATAAAATCGGTTTTTGAATTTATGCAGTAAATATTTTATGTTTATTGAATATGTAACATTATGGGTAGCAACAATTTTTTGAATTAAATAAAAAATTCAATTTGTAAAAAAATGTAATTTTCTTATTTCAAAAAAATTCTGAGCTCTGTACATATCGATTTCATGTAGGTTTTATCAAACCAAATAATATTAAAGTACTTTTATGATAAAAACCAGTGCAAATTCCAGTTTCAATGCGTATTTTCTTAGAATTTCAAGCCATAACACGCAATCTTTTTATTTTGAAACAACATGACGTTTACTTTCCTTTTACCCAATTATGTATGAATTGTTTTGATCTAGAAGTTTTGATATGTAGAAGGAAACCCCGTTTAAAAGAAAATTGCTCAATTAAAAAGTTTTCATTCGTATTAATCGGTTGAGAAATTAAATTATGATTTGATAAAAAATTTAATCAATTTTTAAAGGTTTAATTTAAGAAAGTTACTCTTGGAAAGAGAACTCGCGTTTGAGAGGCTAATTGAAAAACAGAGGCAGTGCTTGTAACAACTTTTCCAACTTGTACATAAGTGAACAGGGAAGCTTTGGTTGTTGCGAGTCGGCCAGAATGTGCCCCCAAATATGCCTTATTAAAAGTCTCGCTACTTCTCTCGGCGCGGCGCGGCGACCGCGCGCGTCTTAGTTAGGCTTTGTTGTATCATTAATGGAAACAACAGCTCGCGACTTGAGTGTGTGTGTTGTTGGAGTATAACGAAGTAGCGCAGGTAAGCAAATGACTCCTCCGCTCTCTCACAATGGGCCCCTCTTTCTTGTTCCGCTCGCTCCAGGAGAGTTTGTTTGTTTGTCCCGCCGAATATCAAAGCTGGCAATATTGCGCGCAGCCTGCTTTGTGTGAAATTATTTCCTCAGCCCGCCGGCTGGTCTCTTGCTCCAGGCTGCAATCTTATATTTTATTATTCGCCTCTCTGATTTGCAAAAACATGGCGCAAAAACTCCGTATGTGGAGGAGGAAGCCCGCTTTGCTGAATTATTTTTGCCCTTGTGCGTGCGCCCATCTTCTCTTCTTCTTGTCTCTCTTTCTTCGGTTGTAAAACTCCACTTGCTAAGACAACTCTCGCGCCCCTTTGTGTGTTTGCTCGTTGTTGTTTGCTCCTCGCCGCGTCACCTTCCTTCTTCTGCCGGCCCCAACGAGTTAAGTTGCGAGAGAGAGCCAGTGGCGGTACTTGAATTTAAAAATTTAATGAAAAAGCAGAAAGAAGACTAAACAAAATAATTTTTCTCAACAAACCTAATTACTGATCTTTATTATTTTGGCAATTAACTTAAAAAATTAATAACCCTTGTGGTGATTATTTTTATTATTAATATCCAGAAAAAAACAGGTTTTTTTTAAATTTTGCTTTACCTAAATTCTGAATTGCTTTTAAATTTTCACTTGAATTCAAAATTAGTAATAATTTTTTATTAACTACACAGAAGACGCTACTATCATGAATACACTCCAGATCAGAGCTTAAATTATGATCCTGTAAAATATTATTAGTTATTACATTGTGTATGTAATAGACGTAAAATTAAATATTAACCATGTAAGTACTTCATTTTTCACCATATTTAGTCAGGGACTTGATCCTTTTTCTACATTTAAGGAGGTGATACAGGGAAATCTTAGTTTCATTACGAAGTTTACAACGGCTTTTCTCTCCTACGGCATTTAAAGTTTCAATCTTGAAAACGTTCACACTTCAAATAAAGTAATTTTACAATTAAAGATTTTTAATAATTATAATCTGTTAAAATTAATTTTAAAATAAAATGTAGAATTAATTAATGTTTATAAGGAACAGATTTCATGAGATTTAAATAAAAATATTTTTATTTTATTTCTCAAAAAGAATAGCTTTTTTGTATAATAAAATAAATATTAAAGTACTTTTTTAAATGTATACACTTAAAACAAATCAAATGAATATCTTTGATGTGGATTCTGAAACTAAAAACACATCAAATGAATATTAAATTATTAAAATGGTGAAGCATAAAAATATTTATTTAATTCCACCCCTCTAAAAAATCATTTATTTTAACTACACAATTTCCTCCGAGCGGAAGTCTGACTTTGAACCGAGTATTATTTAGAGTCTGCGTCTGTGATATTATTTCAAAACGCAGCAATTTTTTTCTCTCCCCCAAGCAAGTGCTTTTATTCGAATAAAACACAAAGCGATAAATTTTGCCGGCGGCTTGCTGATCAGGAGTTCCGCCACTGGCAGCGCAATCGAGAGGCGAAAGAAGGGAAAAAAAGCGACCGTAAAAAGATGGAATTACATTCATAGGAGCAGGAGGGCAGCAAACGCGCATGCATATTTCAGCCGTGCTATCTTTTAATAACTCGGCGGGTCTTAATGAAATCCCGCGCCTTTTTTACGGCTCAAATTCAGAGAAGGCGCTTCAAAGGGACACCATCAAGTGCGAGCGGGCGGACGGACGAGCGAGGGTCTCGTCGCATGCAAGTACTGTCGGTATATTTGCCATGCACAGAAGAGCAGAAGGGAACAAAACTCCTTTGCTTCTGTGCGCTATTTTCATCAAAAACACACCGTGTGTCACATTAAAGGTTGCTCTCCGCGTGTCCATTACTTTAATTAACAGAGCAGCAGCCGCTTCAAGGAAGAGCCTCCTTTGCTCCTCCGACCCGCGTGTAACTCAATTTTGGCGCATTTTTATTTCCACGGAGCGAGAGAGAAAGTGAACCGGGGACCGGCAATAATTGTGTGAAAAACGGGCGCAAAACTTTTGCAGGGCGCACGGAAAAAAGTTCGTTTCGTGGCGGCCCCGGGCGGATTGGGCTCATCAGCGCGTCCGTTTAGAGAAATGAAAATAAGTCATGAACAGAAAACTCGTCACCCGCGGGTTTTGCTTCATCTGAAATTAGCATTAATTTTTTTCTGAATCCTTTTATGCAAAAATGAAAGAGAGAGAAAACGTTAGCTGAGGCTGCTATTTTTGCTAATTGCTCTGAGCCTTTGAAAGGTGCGACGGTAGCTTGAAATTAAAATTCTTTATAAAAAGAATTTTTTTCATTACTTTGCCAAAAACGTTAATATCCTATAAAATCACTATCAATTTTTCCATTGCAATCTAACTTATTTAATTTTTCTAAATTTATTCTTTATTTAATTTTTTAATTTACATAAATTTTACTTCGATTGTTTGGAAATTTCACAACAAAAAATGTTTGCAACAAAATAGATTTTTTAGTAGGATTATAAAATATAAAAAAAACTTGTGTCGATAAGAGATTAAATATTATATAGTTGAAGAAAAGTATGCATTAAAGATAATTTTTGTTACATCCTTTAAACATAAATATGATCAGTTGAGATAGTAATTGGGAACAAATAAAATTTGATGAAGATCTGATTGAAGTAATTTTATAATAAAATAATTTATTACTAATACTTATTGTGATTGCAGGTTGTCCTTGAATAAAAAGGAAGTCATAAAATCTTAACAGGGTAACACAGGGTTAATACTGTGCTTAAAAATGTAAATAGGTCAAAATAAATGCTTTCGAAATAGTTATTTTTAGTTTTAAAATGATTTACTGTGTTATTTATTTAACGTTTAACTAATCTGTTAAATCGAAATTATAACTTTTACGAATTCAAATTGAATTATGCTAATTGCATGTTTCAGTGCCTCCGGACATATTGGACTACCCCACCAGCTCGGACATGGTGGTGCGAGAAGGTTCGAACGTGACCCTGAAGTGCGCGGCATCGGGTTCGCCGCAGCCCATCATCCAGTGGCGCCGCGAGGACGGCGGGATGATTCCCGTGAGCCAAGGTCAGGAAGGTAACAGCCCGTGTGCCCTCAGCCACGAGCTTTTGCACGCCAAGTAGCTTATTTATTTCGGCACAAAACCCTTTTTTAGTTGTTGCGCGGCGGAAGGAGCGAAGCTGCAAAGCTCCTTTGCGGGATTACTTTTCAGCATGCACTGCATTTTTTTATACAAAGCAATCACTAATGGGCACATTTTGCCGCACTCTTGATAACTCGGATAATTTCAAAAGATAATTGGTATTTGAAAACTTGCGACATCTCTTTCTTGATTAGAGGAGGAGTTAAATTGCGTCTTTCCACTTCATCTGCAGCATCTCGTTTTCCACTTCTACTTCTTGTTAATTATCCGAGCGAAAACAAAAACTATGCAATTCATTTCTTGGCTACTCTTTTCATTTCATCCGGTAATTTATCCGCCTGTTTTTCTAGCAGCTCTATATTTACTGCGCGGTGGTGGAGTGGAAGATAAAATTAGATGATTGCCAATTCGTTTCCTTCACTGCGCGCTCAACGAGCTTTTAAATGCCAGCTCCAATTTATCTCTTCATTTTATTTATTTATTTATTTATTAAGAGCAATCCGCTGATAATTGGAAATTTTAGAGATTTTTGCCGTGGAACAGTCGAGCAACTTGTGCAAATGAGAGGGTTGCAATTGAGGCTGCGTTGTCTGGGTTTGGTGCCAAATTACATGCAGAGATAAAACAAAACGGCCTTTGTTTGCAACTCGACATTATTATGCAGACATCAGATGACAGAATGGGACAAAGAAAAATTGTTATGAACATGCATTATGCAGCCCTGCTCTTGCGACATTACTATCTGTCAAACTGTGTCAATTTAGAAGTTGATGATAAAATTTAAAGCAAGTAAAAAGTTTAATTTGCAAAATTCATGCACAGAACTTTCAAAATTAAACGTCAAATGTGTTAACAAAAAAAAACTCCTCAAAAAGTGGTTGGCATTTCTTCTAGCATGTAAAATTTGGTAATTTTGCTTTAATGTTGTTAAAATAATTGTCTCCCGAGAAATTCTGAGATGTATTGCTAAAAATGTCTTTAAAAAAATCACATTTATATCATATTAAAATTTCCAAAAAGCTTTTTTTTTTTGCTTGACATAATGAAAATGACAAGAAAATAAGAAATGGATTTTTGTTATCAATATTCTTGATTCTTCTTGGAGTATAAATTTAAAGTCCACTTTTGAATTGTTTTTACTTCCAATGAAAAAAAAATATTGCCTAATTTTGTATCTGGTGATAAAATCTGTCTTCTTTCAAGGTTGGGCCGTTTTTACAACGAGAATAATTCATGTAAACACACAACTTCATTAATTTTTAATTCGGAGACAAGTGTTATCACAGCTAATTATTCATAAATTCTTGCGTGCGAGAAGCAAAGGGGAAGCTCGGTCAAGCGCAACCCTCCGATGGCGATAAAAGTTTGTGCGCGACCGCAGGCAGGGTAATTTGTCGGCGCGCCCTTGGTGCATAGAAATGAGCATGATACTCGCTCGTAGCAGGCGGAGGTGACCTGAAAAATAAATATGTTTGTTCCGAGGACATTATCTTCGCGGCGTGTGTCGTCGTCTCTCTCAATATGCGAACATGCGAAAACTGTTCTATCACACAGTGGCGCGCTGGCAAAATACGTCAGGGCGGGGTTAACACCCACTTTGACCTGGAAGTTTGCCAGAACAGCCTTTTTGCCAGTCCGCCCGAACAACTGAACTGCCTAATCTAAAGTGGAGGATATAATAATTACTTAATTAGACACGCGGGCGGTGTGGGAAATTAAGCCGTTTGGCACCACTTTGCTTTAATAAGCTACAAGGGTGTTACGGGCTATGTGTGTGTGCTATTTATGCGCGCACACCCGCTTCCAAACGCCCTTTCTGAAGAAAGCAAACATTTTCCTTATCTGAGCTGAAAATATTCAAAAATCGTGCTAAGTTTTGCTCCAACTCCTAGCTTCAAAATTTATGTGAGGCTTGCGCATTTCTTGGCATTTATTTAAAAACTTAATACTATATAATAGTAAAATCACTTAAATCAGGTCAGCTAGGCAACAAGGACAAGTATTTGTTAAGTTTTGTTTTTTAAGTATTTTTTTTTTTTAAGTTATAATCACTTTAAAAATAAAAATGAAAAATAAACAACATCTTGCTTTAAGTTAGCTTAGGTTTAATTTTTTTATTTAATAAAGCTGAAAGATTTTTTGAGGCAAAATACAGACTGAAATCAAATGACCTGTAACGAGAAATATAAATTTAATATTTATATTAATAAACCATTAAATTGTGCCAATAATATTATATATTTAATCGTTAATTAACAAATGAAGTGTGTTTAAACATTTATTACATACATACTCAATAAAAAAATAAATAAACATAAATACTTACTGTGAATGGGAAAATCTAGTGATAATTCAAGTACCTTTTGCAACCTCTGATTTTAATTGCGTTGCACAAACTAAATTATCAGTTATGGCCACAATATTCCGGCTAACTAATTAGTAGGATGAAATATAGACAAGATTAATCAGGCAATTCAACAACCGACCTCTCACTTGTTTCAGTTCCCAGCGTAGAAGGGTCCTTGTTCAACATCACGAGAGTGAATCGGCTGCACATGGGCGCTTATTTGTGCATCGCTTCAAATGGAGTGCCGCCGACAGTCAGCAAGAGGATCATGCTCATCGTACACTGTGAGTTTTGAAACCAATTTAAACCTCTTGATAAATCATGCTTGATCGTTTTTCAAAGTTTGTTAAATATTTTTTATATTGAACCAGCTGGAGAAACCAGTTTTTTTTTTAAATAATAAGAATATTGAGGAAAAATTAACTCTTTGCAAGCAACAGTAAGAATAAAAATTTTTAGTTTTTATTTTATCTTTATATGCGAATTTCTATGATGCAAACTAAATAATAAACATTCCACCTATGATTGAAAATACATTGTTAAATTAAGTTTCCATCACTTACTCATTTCAGTGGGCTTATTTACAATCATGTAAAAGAACCTTATTTTGCTCTTGACTGTTATAAAATAAAACTATAAACCGTGCTTTTAAACTTTTTAAATAAAAAATTACAATAAAAATATATTGCTTAAAAAATATATTAAAAATAATATAATTAAAATAAATATAATTTAAAAAACAAAATAAATATCATTGAAATGTTATATTGTAAATTATTTGATAATTATAAAATTTCTGAAGCATAATTTCAAAAATATTATGCAATTATGAGTTGAATTAATTTTGTTCCAGTTCCACCTATGATATCCATTCCGAACCAATTAGTAGGAGCCTACGAAGGTCAAATGTTGACCCTCGAGTGTCAGTCTGAAGCTTATCCGAAGTCGATCAACTACTGGACCAGGGAAAATGGCGAGATCATTGCGCAAGGTATAAACAGTTAGTATCGCACAGTTGAGCGCCGGCTGTGAGTACCACACACAGTTTTTCCTAGATGTCAGCAACGCGCGATTCGCAACTGCTTCCAAAATCATGCCGAACTTGCTGAAAGCCAAAAATTGCGCCATATCTGTGCCTCAGCAAACATTTGCATTATATTCCCAGTTTGCAAAATTCGCAAAACTTTCCTCTCCTTCGAAAATTCAGAGGCACAAAAAGACACCGCCAGAAACTATGCTAATGGAAGAGCCTTTTTCAAAGGCTTCCCAAGGGTAAGAAGCGATCAAATTTTTGTGGTAAAAAATATTCCCCAAAGGAGAGCAACTTGAAGAGACGTTGACAATTTCTCCAGAGATGTAGAAATACGTCGACGGCAATTCATGACCTCAAACAAGCACCTCTCCACATTTTCATGTTTTATCTGCAATTTTTGCAAACTTTCAAAGAAAAAAAGCCAATTGGCCTTTTTCGCATTACTTGAAACAATGGTTAGAGTAAAAAATGGAAAGCTGATTGAAAAATTTAATAACAAAGTGTTTCATGAATATGTAATGCATATATTTATTGGTGGATCTTTGCAATGTTAAATATTGTCATTGAATTTTAAAAAATAATTTAAATTTAAATGAAGCAGTGATTATTATATAATTTTAATGGAACCATGAATTTTTTGTAAATTTTTGCGTCAAAAATAACTTCAAAATCTAAATTTATTTGCACCAATTTTACAGCAAGGAATTCAGATTAAATAAAATTTGGAGACAAATTCCTCTCAAAATAGAACGCCCCATTAGTTTTTGATGAATCGGCGCTCGAAAGAAGGCTTTCAGCAAGAGGCGGTGATTGACAAAGGGGGTGGGCGTTTTGCGCAAGTCAATTATATTTGCAAGCAGTTGCTGATCCGGCGGTAGCTGGTCTGAAATCGGTGTGGCACGTTCTCCGTGGCGCATGCAATTCGATTCTGTCTGCTCGTGTGATGGACTTGGCGGGATAATTGTGAGCACCCCGTAATAATAACAATAAAAGCCAAGGCTGAAAATAAACACTGCAACTACAGAGTGTACACGCGATGGCCTGCATACGTTGAGAGGTGGCGGAAGTCACCACTTTGAACCAACTTTCCACTCACGTGTGTGTTGCCAAAAAATAAAATTGCATCCTCATTAAGCAGTACGGGGCGAGCGGAAGCGGAAAATAGGCAACCCGCCGAGCGGTCCTGCGAGCAAATAAATTGAAAATTTGTGCCTTATTTATTGCCTCTCGTTTTATGTATACGCCGTGCGTGACCTCTGTCTGTAGAAATGTATTTTTTATAATGATATTTGCATGAAGCACGTAACCGTAGCTGCATTCACGCGGATCAAATTTTAAACTTGCTCTTGTTCCCCCACGTTAGTTTTGTTATTCGTCGATTATATATTGCTCTAGTTAGCATACATACTTTTGGAACAAGCTTTATATACCGTGCGAGCGGCACTCGTCTCTCTCTATCCAAGCACTCAAGTGGCCTGTAAAAAACGAGAGCCAGATTTAACTTGTTCGTTTCCGAGGCAACAATTAGCTTCAATTCAATTAGTACGCACCTCGAAACTTTTCAACCGTACTGAACTCTTTCAAAAGCATTCCAGTTGCTTCTTTTTATTTTATTTTTATGCGTTAAATAGTGAATTCGACTTCAATATTTTAAATTTAAAATTAAATCATTTTAAAAGTAGAGCATTGTAAAACAGCTACGAACTCAAAGTAATAGTTAGTTAAAAAAAAATATCGTCCTGTTTATACTTGTTTGTGTATATCTAATTATGAGCCAAATTCAGGGAGTTTTACACTTAAATCATTAATAATTTTAATGGAATTTTACTTTTTTTAATTTTGAATGATTTTGTTTGGCAGGCAAGTAAGCCAAGATCAATTTAATCGATTAAAATTTCTGAACAAAATAAAATTGGAAAGTTTTTAAACTTGCATTTTTTTTTAAAATTATTAAATAAATGTTATCTCAATAAAAAAATCAACCCTTATCAAAATGGGCATTTTAATTTTTCGATTGTTTCATTTTAAGAAGATCGTGTTTGTTAGTTTCTACCTCGGCACACGGTAGGACCCCTTCTCTGCTTCATTGCGGCCGATATTGACTTTTATTATTTTATGATTACCCGGCGCGCGTGAGGTCACTCTCTTGTTAAAGTCGGGCGACGTATCAGGAATAAATTGTGCGCTTAACAAACTTTCAACTTCTGCGCGCGATCCAATCCCATTTCAGGCGGCCATAAATTATTTCTCCCCAGCTAACAAAGTGATCAGGCAATCGATGCATATACTTATACATAAATTCAGGGTGTGTGTGTGTGCAAGTTTTGCTTGGCGGCATGCGATGCTCCTTTTCTGTGTCGGACCGACGGAGAGAGCGCGGCGAATATGGTCCATAAAAGAAGCGGCGCAAACGGTTCTTGTTTTTTATGTAGAATGGCCGGATAATACGGCATTTCCATCTTTATGATGCTGCAGCAGTGTGTCGACTTAAAGGTGAAATCGAACAGGCCGTAAAGAGTTATGTCTTACGTATGTCACAATGAATATTTTACAACTGGCAGCGCTCTTAAATCCCGTTTTATCACTCCAGCTCGATCTCGCGCTCGTCACTCAAAATTATTTCAATGAATTTTTCACTCCCTCGTGACGCATGCAGAGAAAGTTCGCAAATTTCCATTTCATTTATTGATGTCGCCGCTTTTCCATCCCTCTGCTCTCTTTCGCCTCTCAATTTCATCATTTCGCTTTCCGCCTGCTTAAATGTCACGCTGATATTTCCATTCTCGGTATGTTTTCCCCCTCAGCGAAATTTGGTGTTTTTCTTGGCTTCAAAAACATACCTGTGTGCACGGCAGGTAATCGTGTTTATTTTGCCTCAAAATCTCTAAAAAGAAAATATTTTTGGTGTACACGTAGGATTTTTTCAGTGTTTTAATTTCAGAAATCCGAGTTTGGCCAACAATGTATTATTTCCTGTTACAAAATTTGTACTTCATTAAGTAAAAACCATTTGTGAAAAATAATTAAACAAATAAAAATCAAATCATGTTTTAAAAACCTTGATAAATTTCGGCACCGTGTGTAACAAAAATTTAAAAAAAAATATATATTTCTCATTGTCAGTGAATTTTGCTCCTTTTTTATCAAACAATGTACTTAAATATTTAAGTATTCCCCATTATTAGCACAGGCAACTTATTTAAACCTTTTGCATTAAATAAGGGTAATGTGCATTTGCTTAAAAAAATTAATTCATGAATCATATAATTCTGAGCAAATTTCAAAATGGCCCAATTTTTTTAGCTTTTTTTTGTAACACATGAGTAGCTAAAAGATTTCAAGTTTTCATTAATGCACAAAGTTAACAAAACTTAGAGCCGTCTTTGGAAAAAATCCTCAACGCAGCGACCACTGCCGTTTATCAGGCTAATGGAGCGGAGGGAGGTTTTGATGGGAGAGTGGAAACTGTCCAGAGTTGAAACTGTCCAGGGGTTGAAACCGTCCAAAAGATGGAGGATTTACAAAAAACACACCCTTATATGGGGAGGAGTGAATTGTGAGGGCATGACCAAGAATAGTGAGAAATGGAATCGTATATAATATTTTTTGAGAGGGACAAATAATCGATTGCAATGATGTAATTATTTGTATCTTTTAATGCTTTCAATATTGGACAGTTTCCACCATTGAGTTGAAACTCTCCAGGGTTAGAAGTGGCACCGCTGTCGCTGGACAGTTTCACCTTCTGGGCAGTTTCAACTTGTAAATAATGCTGCTAATTGTTATTCTCCAGTACTGGACAATTTCCACCGTTGCGTTGAAACTCTCCACGTTTACAAGCGGCAACACTGCCGCTGGACAGTTTCACCTTCTGGAGAGTTTCAACTCTTGACAATTAAATCAATCAGGTATATTTTCTCGGACAGATTCGCCACAACGGTTGAAACTGCCCAGCAGTAACCTCTGCAGGAATGATTTAACTTTTGTTTTTTGTCACATTGATATATTCAATAATTTAAAAATAATAAATAATAAATTTTAAAAGTTCATTTACAGTGAGCTATGATGAACTATTTAAATAAAAACAGAACTCGTTTAGTTTAATTAATAATGATTATCATTTTTGTGCAAAAGAGTGCTGTTTAAACATACTTATTATATTCAAATTTCTTATGGGTTGTAGTCATTTATCAGTTCTCATAAGAATTAGTCTCAATCGCTCAATTTGAGCTGTGCAACCATGGGAAATAAAATTATTTTCTCATAAAAACAGCCAGAAGACAAAAAGACAAGCGCGCAACACATATACCTGGCTCGCGAACAACAAGGCGCCGTGGGGCCGGTGATGGCGGTCAGCTGGGTCACCCGCGGCCGTCTGGGGTCTTTCAATCTCTCTATTGAAAACCCCCAGATTGATCAACATTGTCTCAAATAATCATTGAAAAAGTGCTCTGGCTGACAACTTCTGCAGGTTGTGCGAGAGAAAGAAACACTTTAGTTAACATGGGCCTGCAAGGTGTCAGGAATTTTTTCTTAGCCTGTGATTCAATTCTCTGTTTTGATTAAATAAAATGCGGTTGAGCTCTCATTTAAAAAAATTAATGCACCTTCATTCTCACGCGGAGCAGAATCAAATTTAAAACTTCCATATTGGTCAATTATCTAGCGCGGTGTGCAATTTAGTTTTTAGTCGTAATTAAAAAAATTTTAATTGCTCTCAAACTTTGATTTTTTTACAATTCGTTTGTCATTTATCTAATTTAAAATATTTAAATTGTCAAACATTTAAAATGCCAAATAAACAAATATAACATTGTTAAAACTCCATAAATATTTATAAAATATTTAATAAATTTGCAATATCTTGCGAATGTGAGAATATTCTTTTGAAATATCGAGTTAATATTTAAATCTATATATTAAATATAAATTTTAAATAATCTCTTTGTTATACTTTTAAAATTCACTTTTTTTCGATTTTTATTAAATTTCTTTGATTAGCATAAAATCTTAAAATTCAATTATGTAGGATCCAGATAAAGTTACCTAAAAACTTTTGATACAAAAGTTGATGGTAAAAAGAAAATTGAATCCCTTTTTCAAAAATGAACATTTTATTTTAATTAGGAGCAAAGTTATAAAAATTTGAATTCTCGCTTCCAAGTGATCTAAAATCTCGGCTTCACTCTGCTATAAGCGTACGGCTGCTTTTTCGCGCCGCTAGAATTGGGCGTGACAAATGTATTAATTGCTGATTTCTCATCTCCCATTAAAGCAGTGAGCTCCAAATTTTATGGATGTTTTCATTTTTGCCCTATCTACGTCTACAAATTTTTTGAAAAAATTCGTTGTCAACGCGAGCAAGTTATAAAGAAAAAACTTAAAAAATTAGCATATTTTGCTGAATACTGTACTTTCTTTTGTACCAAAAAATGTTTCAAAAATTCCTGATATGTGGCACATATTTGCGCACAAAATTCTGTTGCAGAGCAATTTATAACCCTTTTTGTTTTTTTAATATTAAATTCGAAGTGAAAAAAAACGCGTCAAAAATGGAAAACTATTGAGCGTGTTATTAAGAAAACTGCTGGTCAGAATTTTACAAACAAAACTTTTACCATTCTAGAATAAACGTCTCAGGATAGTAAAAGAAACTTTTTTCCAAAATTTATCAAATATCCACATTTTTTAATTTTAATGACACTTCAAATATTACGAAAAATTTGAGAAAAACAGGCAAAGTAAAAATATTTATTTAGAATTTAATGATGCACGCTTTATAATTTTGCTGCGTTAAGAACAATTGCAAATAATTAAAAACTGAAATGGATTTTTGCAGCAATCAGCTGATTCCACAGACCGCAGGAGAGACGAAAAAGATTTTTCTTCCTTTTACTGCCTCTCCTGGAAGATCTTTTTCGCTCAGCGCACGAACCCTTTGGGCTATTTTTATTGTTTCCTTTGTGTGCGCCAGTGTGCCTCATCGACTGCATTTCTGGCTCGCTCACAACCTCCCCTTGGAGCAAGAAATAGGTCGCAAACAACAAATTATACAAAGGGTTGAATGAGCTGCTTTGCCACCTTCGCTGAGCCACAACAAAATTACAGATTTCTTACTCAGGGACGTATACAAATTTTGGATACTTCATTTATAATTTAACCTTTATTTGCCGCGGGAGAGAAAATCCACGAGACAATTAATAGTGAACCTAAAGCCCTTCAGTGATTTTTAACTAAAAACTAAACCAATTTATGTAAACGCAACGGAATGTAAAATAACCCACAATAAAGTAATTAATAGGCCTCAGCTTTTTAATTTGAGTGGGATTGAAATCAATCTCTTTTTATTAATAAAAAATATAAGCATGCATAGTGTTTTTATGGCAGGTATTTCCCAAACATAAAAATCAAAATTTCTTGTTAAGTTTTCAGAAAACACCACGTTTTACCCTTTTTTGATTATATTCACAATATTAGTTGCAACCTCATATTTATATGGTAATTTTCAAATTTTGCTTGTATAAAATTTAATACTTTACTCATAGTTAAGAATCTGCGTTACGCCCCACCAAGCATCTCCTTTTGACACTACCTGAAACTTTTTGCACTCTGAAGTCCCTGAATAAGCCCGCCCCCGCGTCAGCACCATAAACCATAAGGGATATATGGGAACGAGATCACCCAAATATGTCACCGAAATATCACTCAATTTATATTCTGGGAGTAGCAGAGGGGTGAATCTGTCCAAGAAAATATACCTGATTGATAATTGTCAAGAGTTGAAACTCTCCAGAAGGTGAAACTGTCCAGCGGCAGTGTTGCCGCTTGTAAACGTGGAGAGTTTCAACGCAACGGTGGAAACTGTCCAGTACTGGAGAATAACAATTAGCAGCATTATTTATAAGTTGAAACTGCCCAGAAGGTGAAACTGTCCAGCGACAGCGGTGCCACTTCTAACCCTGGAGAGTTTCAACTCAATGGTGGAAACTGTCCAATATTGAAAGCATTAAAAGATACAAATAATTACATCATTGCAATCGATTATTTGTCCCTCTTAAAAAATATTATATACGATTCCATTTCTCACTATTCTTGGTCATGCCCTCACAATTCACTCCTCCCCATATAAGGGTGTGTTTTTTGTAAATCCTCCATCTTTTGGACGGTTTCAACCCCTGGACAGTTTCAACTCTGGACAGTTTCCTACCACTCGGTTTTGATATTGTCCGTCATTTGCCTGGGCAATCCAATCACACGGCCAAGTGCGTGAGAGGCTGCTGATCTCTCTCCATTTCCAGCCACTTTGGCCGCACCAGACACTGAACAAACGATATTGGTAGCTATTTACAAGATGGCTTTACTGCAAATGCGCCCTCCATATAATATCACGTGGCGATATTTTCGAGCAGATTTTGTTTCCAGGCGGAGAGGCTCAACTGCAAATTGATCGTTTGCGCGATGAGATGATCTTTTTAAGAGAGCTCCTCCCTATAAGTCCAAATTAGCTTTTTCATATTTCATGTGTAGTGCGTTCGGTGTAAGTAGTGTTGGGAGATCGCTCCGAAAACATACCGAGTGTTTTGCCGTTTTATTATTTTTATATTTACCACCAGCCCATCGCAGTATTTATTCTAACTCGTATTTTCTAATGGAAAATTCCAAAAGCACTTGAACCCCTCAAGAGTGTACGTTATTTTTAGCGGTTTTTCAATAAAACACAAAAGTTTTTGGTGGACGGAAAAATTAGTCTTTGATGAAATTTAATCTTTCTGACAGTAATTCAATAATATTTTTCAATTTGTAATTATTATTCCATTTAATTAAAGAAAAACTTTCTCTCTCATTTTCTGCAGGAGAAAAGTACGAGCCAACTTTCGTAGACAACGCGTACAAAGTGCACATGAAGCTGACCATCAAAAGCGTCGCGCCGGAGGACTTTGGCTCTTTCAAGTGCGTGTCAAAGAACTCGCTCGGCGACACAGATGGCAAAATCAAGATCTACCGTGAGTATAAAAACGCTTTTCACTCTTACTCTCTGCTAGAAGGCTGCTTTCAATCTCTCATTTAAATGTGGTGTATCTCTGCACAAAATGTACCAAACGAGCACCGCTCTCTCTCCTCCGTCTCTTCTCTGACTTAGAGTGTTGCATTTAAATATTACGCGAATCTGTGCAGCCGTGCCACTGCATTATGAGTGTTTCACTATGATAATTTCTCTTTCGATCGTCAAGGTATATTTACTATTAACGCGAAAAACAGCGAAAAAAGCTAGAAACATAATAAATACAAGTTAAACATTATCAAGTTTTTTTATGAATTGAAAATTTAATTAAATTATTTATCACATAATTTTATTCTTAGCTTAAAATTTTATTTATTAATTTAATAATCCATTATATAAATTTTCAACTCAGTTTACACTTTTTGTAATCAAGGCATAATTTTCTAACATTAATGAGCATTGTTTGAGCACATGAAAATTCCCATTAAATTGATTATTTTATGGATTTATGGTAGTTTTTTTATAATTTTTTTTATTTTAAAAGAGCTCAACTATTATTTCTTCAAATGAACTTTTACTTTTGTTTAGGGAAAAAAATGTAGGCTGTTTGTAACAGATGGGCTATTTATATAAAAGAAATTGTATGCGCTGGACACTCAGTCAGTCCGTTCCTGGCAACTTTCTCTGTCAAAGCACTCTTCACAAGCACTCTCACAGCACCAACAACAGTCAGTGAGTCGGTCCACCCATTATGTCGCTCAACACACACGCAAGACACACACACATACACATTCGCAGAGAGATAAATTGTGTGGTGATTGATCAGCATCCTGCAACTGCTGCGTGAATACATTAGTCGGTTTTGTGTCCAGTCCGGGGCTGCGCTGGGCCGACCTATTCTTCCTAATGGATTGCAGAAGAACCGCTCTTGCCATCATCGGCCAAAACTCTCCATTGATATCGCCAAATAATATCAAAGCTCCCCACGATACAAAGCACTCTCTCTCCCTAAAAGCTGCGGGTCTGCAGAGAAAGAGGAAAAAGCAAACTTTCGCTGGCCCCTAAGCTGGAACGAATTTTCGTCTTAAGAGAATAAAGTGAGCCGGAGAAGAGCGATTGTCAAAGCAATATGCCGCCGCCTCTCTTTCTCTTTGATTTTTGATATTTGGCTGCCAACGCCAGAGCTCAACACTCTTCCCTTTTCCGCATCCTTTGCAATCTTGGCCCTGATTATTGTCTTTGCCTCTGGACGGGAATTTTCTTTGCAAACAAACGATTCTGTCAAACACATGGGCTAATCTTTACACCCAAGCCCAAAAAATGTTCTTCGTGTTTTTGACACCTTTTCTGGCAAAGTTTATACAAATCATTTTTAAATTTGGCGCAGTGATTACCACAGCTAAATGTTGCAAAGCAGCCTCTCTCACAATAAGTGTATGTTTTCTGAATGAGAATTTAAACTTGCCGCTGAAAATATCACGTTATTTCAAATCTTTTTTTTCCTCTAATTTTGATTTAAATTTTTTTTCTCATCACTGAAGATTTCCGTAGCTCTTCTTATAGTGATGTCTCTTTATTTGTTCTTGCAGCAATTCCTCACCCCTCTACGACCAACAGGTCTCCTGTAACTACCATGGAGCCAGTACCAGAAAAAGGTCAGTCGCCATGCCTCTAGTCACCCCTTTTTCTTTTTATTTTATTTGATCTAAAAATTTGAAAGACGTAAAAGCAGGTTTACTCACGAAATTAGATTTGGATGCATGCTGTTGGAAAAAGTTGTTACTGCAGAGCGGCCGTTCTTTCATTTGTTCTGATTTGGAGCTTTTTGCCGAGCGCACAAACAAAGTGAACACGGCCACCCATATATATGCTGAGCTCGCTCTCTCTCTCAATGTTTGCCCAACAAACTCTGTAGAAAAGCGTAAATGTGTGTCCACAGAACGCAAGCAGAAAGGCTCTCATAAGAAGGAGCGGATTCCGGTGCGCGAAACTAACGAAATCGTGGACGAGTCGCAGCCCAATTTGACTCGCAATCGAGGTAGGTTCTCTGCATTTCGTCCCACCTGCGAGTGAGATCGATGGACCGAAAGCAGTCTCGCTCACGACCCCAAAACACTCTATCTCTCCACTACCAGACACACTCTTACACAAACACGATCGGACTCTTCTTCCTCTGTTTACCTTATACTTTTTGACTGGGTTTGACTTCTGTTAAATGTCTGGAGGCGGCTTTTGCATGTGGCATGCGACCTGCACCAAAAAAAAACTTGTTGATTGTCTGAATAGCACACGTTTCCATAAAAGGATGAAAAAAAATCTTGTTGTGAACTTATAAGCAACAAAAATTATAAAATATACATTCGTTACTATCAAATACTATATAAATTGAAATTAATGGAGCAAAAATTCATTTCGTTGAGATGACCAGCGGGTGGCATAATTATTAATAGTATTTTTCTATCCATCATAAATTGCAAAGTTGCGTTCTCAATTTTAAAAATAAAATTAAAGGATTACTTTTCAATTAAATTTAATTCTAAAAGTTCCCTTTTTAATTTAATATATTATTCAATTATTCATTTAAATGATTTAAAGCGCTGTAAAAATATATTTGCTACATTATTCCTAGCAAATAAATTAAAAACTACTTAGACCGTGAATATGATGGAAATAAAAATTATTCACCGTAAAAATCAGAATTCATTTAAGTAAGACACATCTGCGAACACGCATCAGGTATTCCAGGTATTCATAACTATCTGTGCATGTAGGTGCAGTTTGAAATCATTCAAAGCAAAAGCCCTGTGCAGCGGGAAATGCGATACGTGCATATTAAAAACGCGAGTTAATTTCGCTGAGTGCAGATTGTTTGCATCGTTGCTGATCAATTTGTTGATGCGCGAGAGCTGCAGCAGAGCTGCACGCACATTCAAGTGGGCGCTTTTGCACTCTGCAAACGGATAAACGCGAGCCATTGTAAAAGTAAATGGTACCACCGGCGGAATTATGGAGCGTTAAAAATAATCGCGATTCACGGGAAGAGCACTATCTGACAAGAGGTGACTGCAAACATCTTGCTCTCACAGTGAGAGAAAGATTAACGCTCCACTCTAGCAAATGAGCTTTCCTTCAAACCGCACCCTTCCACGCAATGCGATGCGTGCCCGGTTGCAATAATTGAATTGACGCCTCTTATTTTACAAATCGAAAGCGCTGCTTTATTTTGTTTTAAGGAATTTTTCCAAAACATATTATTTTTTGTGACTTATAAGGATGGTTTAAGGCTGAAATAAATCAATTTAGGTAAAAACTAAATAATAAAATCTATTTTCCAAATTAAATAAATATAAATAAAATTCATCAATATTATTAATTATCAGTGGATTTAGACATTCACTTTTCTTTTGAATAGAAGCAAAAATAAAGCGACTTTATTCTCGCAAGTGATCATGTTTAATATAAATATATAAAACCTCAATTTATTTGGACTCCTAGGTTATTTACAGAAAGAAAAGCAGTACGTAAGAGTCTAGATTTGCTCCCGATTTAACTTATTTATCAATTTAAATTTAAAATATTAAATTAAATTTGATTTTGTTTTTAATTTGATATTTTATGTTTTTTTGTATTAATTTATTTTTTAATTTTTTATTTCTAGAATATTCTATGATAATCCCACTTCAATGAGCTTAATAATTTTTTATTTTGAAACGTTTCAAATTTGATAATTTTTAACTAAATTAACGAATAAATTTTAAAAACATCACACATGTTGCTGTGTCTTGCTTAGTTTGCTCGGTTTTGTTAAACTTCTATCTGGTGGGAAAGTTGCTACTGATGGGGGTTGCAATTCTTAAAGCTGCCTGTAATACTAGAGTACGCACAAACTAATAAATCTGTCCGCCTGTTATGCTTTGTAAGCAAACGTGTGTCTGAATTGTATGGTGACGCTCTTAACCGGTACAATCGAAGTAACAAAGCTTTCCCTAATCCCGCTACCCTTATTCCTCTTGACAGTGTGAGCACAAATGAATTGGTCTCTCTCCTCCTTGTGTATTTCTAATTGGATAACTTTAACTTAATAAGCATTAATAAGGGAATCCAAATTCATCTTCATTTTAAATTTTTTCTATTTATTAATAATGTTAAACCTCTATAATTAAAATGTCAAAACTCTTTTAAAATTATTTCTAATATTTGTAATTTGCTATATTTTCAGATAACATGAAGCTGAGGCGGCAGAAGGAGGGTAACTCGATGCTTCCGACTGACGAGGAGTATTCATCTGCGGCCACAAGTGCTATTCAGTCCGTTGTCCTTATATCAATCTGCATAGCGTTGGCGCTTGGACACTAATCTGTGCCAGTGTGATTATAGCCCAGCTTTTGTACAACCAATAATAATGAACTGAACAAATCGTAATGATTTGAACAAACTGGAAACGTGAAGTGCATGAAGGGGGAAAACAAGTTGCAAGAAAACGTATGCCAAACTTAATTATGACGCCCTATAGATGCTGGATTATATAACTGTACATACATAATTAATAGAAAAAAGAAAAATGTTGAATGAACCGGTAACTGTTGCAAATAAAAATATGTTTTACTGGCTACGAAATAAGATATGTAAATATTATAGCATGGATTAAAAAATAGGAAAAAATACTCCACGTTGAAATAACACCGAGATGAAGAGGAATGAAAGATAACAGTGAGAGATACAAAATTTAGTTCGTTAGAAGTAAAAAGTTTCCTTACAGCGAAGCTTGCGATGAATTAAAGTGCTTGAATGGATTTGAATCATAAGCTTTGTTTTTTTTTCATCAAAGAAATTAAAACTTATGGCAACAAAGTGATTAAAACTGTTCAAATACAATTTTCAAAACAATCTTTGTAAAAAAAATTCAATTTCAACTCTAATTGCTTACGTTGAGCACAACGCTTTTGAATTTTCATCAAAGTGCACCACTAAACAGTGCAGATTTGGCTAAAAAAATTCTCTGGGATATATCTCCATTGTGTTTTGTGATTAGTAACAAAGTAATGAGCTTGCTATCCAGCGCAACATTTGACAAACTGTCTAGCTTTGCGGAGGAGCAACAAAAACATTGTTATCTACGCGCCTCGTGGATGTTGTCCTCCTGTATAAAATAAGCATTCTCTTCAGTGAAATGACTCCATCAATTAATGTTACTTCTCCGCATCAAACAGCATTAACTTGGATAAATCGCAGATTATGGAATAAAAACAACTTATGTAAAAATGATATAATACCCATACCTAGCAAAGACTGATGATTAATATGCATAATAAAGATAAAATAAAACAAAGTTTGTTTCGTTCATTATTTGTTTAAAAAAAAGACAACCCAAAAGAAGCGTCTTGAAAAACAACCACCAATTTATTGCTAACTCATCCCAGAGATATGAGCGCCTGCAAGAATTGTAGTTAGGCAATTTTTTGGCAGGCGTGTTTAACAGGTTGCATAACTCAAAAGTCAAGTACCAATTTGTACAATCAATAAAATTTACAGTACTAACCTTTCAGCGGTAACTTACAGAACTGTTTCACAGGTTTTGATTATTTCTTTTCATGTCTATATATGCTTCTCAATTTTCTTATCAACTTAAAATAAATAGTTATTAACAAAATATAATAATATTTATATTATAAAATCTCAAAAGATTCTTTTAATAACCATCATAACAATAAAACGCGGTTTCCTCAAGAGAGGCCAAGTCCAAAATGGGTGAGCATATAAATATTTTTGTAACTAAATATTAAAACACATCTTCCCAATTCTTACATCTTAAATAAAATTGAGAGGGTTTCCTCGTCACAACAGTTTCTTTGCTATCAATCAAAGATTTCAACAATGCATCGCAAGATTTAGAGGGTCTTCTACTTTCTGCAAAAATGAACCTCTTTGATTCACTCTTCAATAAGTACTTATCAAGCAATTTTTCAAGCTCTCCTTCAGTCATCCTGGAAAAAGGGCAACCACCAGACACTCCAGGCGCAAGAATATTTTCCTGTTGAATCAATCTTTATTATTTTCGCTGTATTTTTAACCAATCAATTAATTGTACCTGCAAAGTTGAGCACATTGGTGCGGAATAGTTGGTCCTGGATCCCTCGAGACCGTACAAATGCCTAATGCTGTAGACATACCTGCGTTCGTCCTTTTGCCACGAGTGAGTGCAGTTGGAACCACAGCAAGTGGCAGGCATGCTGTAATGCCTGCGCCAAAATGCTATGGCGTCCTTCACAGGCATTCCGGCCTCCTGTTTGGATCATCATCAGTAAACGGAAGAAGAATTTTAAAACGAATTTCACCTTCAAAAACAGAGTTAGTTGGACTCTGGCGTGGTGTCCTAAGCGGTGGTGGATTTTGAGTGTGTCTATAAGATTACGGGCACAGGGAGGGAAGAACTGTGAACGCTCCTCTATATTATCACAGGTCAAGAAGTCACCGATTTCCTGGCTGCTCGATACGATGGAGGAAATGGGTCTTTCCTGTTCAGAATTGAAAGCAATCAAATTATATAGGCTAAAAATTTATAAACTTTACTTACCATGTATTTTGATTCAATTATGTTTGACAAGTGGTGTATGCGAGAGTCCTGCATATCCAGTTTGATACCCGACTGCAGCAGGTCTTCGTAACCGTAAAGTAAATGCAGTTGAAATATTGATGTTATCAACTTGGTCCAGCTACTGCAGTACACCCAAGCGTAGCCATTCTTCAGTTCAACCTCCCTCGACGCTACGAGGGGAAGACAGTACTTAAAAGGAACTGCAATAAATTAGAAAATATTAAATTTTTTTTCTTTACAATGCAAACTCATCATACCTATAGTGTGGAATTTAGAGCAAAATTCAGGATGATTTGAAGAAAAAATGTGCTCTATTACTTGTCGTTTCTTCAGCAATTTGGCAAAAATGCTTCTCGAGCAACGAAGGAAACTTCTATCGACCTCTTTTATATTCAATCTGCAGTCCAAAATTTCGTCTATGTGCCGTATGCTTACGGCTATCAGTTCAATCAATTGTTTGGAATTGAAAAAGCTTAGTCTCTTTCTGCACAGTTCAGTCTCCCCTTTTACAATGAAATTTTTTAGTACAGGCGATGCTGAAGTGACTAGTCTGTAAAATAATTTAATAAGCATCATTAAAATTTCACTACCAAATAATATATGTATGTATAACTGTTTTTACCTTAACAAAAAATGGGAAGCTCTGTCAACAGCCGTACCTTCTACAAAATAAGATAAGTTAATATTTTGCAAAGGGCGGTCATCTATCACAGCAGAAATAAGGTGCATTCGTTGATGGACACATTCGATGATCTCGTCCAGCTCCATGCACCCTCTTGGGGGCTTCCAGTAGAAAGTCATTTTCGTCGAAAAATCCAAAGAGATTTAAAGGATAATCTTTAATGTAAGTTCATTTTGCTATCGTCACTTGAAAGGGCACTGAATTAGATTTTCTACGATAAATAATCGGCACCTCTCCTGCCACCTCTTTTTTTTCTTGTTTTTGTTTACAGTCACGCCCCCTCTTTGGAAATCATCAATCATTTGCGTCTGCATTGTTTTGATTTTGCATGGCTATTGTTGTCGTCTAAAATTGTGCCCGTAAAAGCTTTATATCAAAGGTAAAACAGGATAAATAAGATAAAAGATCAAAATTAACTTTCAATTTCACTATGGATCTATTCTAAATTACTCCTTCTTTGCAGAAATTTCTCAAGTTCCAGCGAAAAAATACATCACGAAGTTCAGTAACCGGCGTTCCCCAAGATGTCGATTGAAATCGAGAGTGCAGAGTAGGTTTTACCTTTTATCCCCCTTTATTTCATGTATTTTAGAGCTTTTGAAATTTATTTTTAAAAATTTCAGCGTCATTCGTCTGATCCAGCAATATCTAAAAGAGTCGAATCTCTACAGGACCTTGCAAACTCTCCAGGTAGATTTTCTTCTGAAAATTTTCATTTAAACCTCTGCTAATCAATTTTCTTTTCGCTTTTCTCTTTTCTTATAAATACTTCAGGAGGAAACTGGCGTTTCCCTGAACACGGTCGACAGTGTGGATGGTTTTGTGTCGGACATAAATAATGGCCATTGGGACACAGTCCTTAAATCAATACAATCTCTTAAACTGCCGGATAAAAAATTGATCGATTTGTATGAACAAGTTGTTCTGGAATTGGTTGAACTGCGAGAGTTGGGCGCTGCTAGATCTCTTTTGAGGCAGACGGACCCAATGATCATGATGAAACAACATCAGCCCGATAGATATATTCATCTTGGTTAATATATATTTTTTTTCCAATCCAACTTCTTCAGTTAAAATAATATTTTACAGAGAGCATGCTTGGCCGATCATACTTTGACCCTCGAGAAGCGTACCCAGACGGAAGCACCAAAGAAAAGCGTCGGGCTGCTATCGCCCAAGCTCTGTCTGGTGAAGTGTCCGTAGTGCCTTCGTCTCGTTTATTGGCCCTACTTGGACAAGCCTTGAAGTGGCAGCAGCACCAAGGACTTATTCCTCCTGGTGAGCTTCGAAACATATCAACTCTGAGACCAACTGACATTGTAATAATTTTCAGGGACGACAATCGATTTGTTCAGAGGCAAAGCCGCCATCAAGGACATTGAAGACGAAAAATATCCCACTCAGATGTCCAAGCAGATCAAATTTGGGCAGAAATCGCACGTTGAGTGTGCAAGATTTTCACCTGATGGACAATTTCTGGTCACAGGCAGCGTAGATGGATTCATCGAAGTTTGGAACTTCACAACTGGAAAAATTCGAAAGGATCTTAAGTGTCAGGCTGAGGTAGACTGCCTTTTAAAAAAATTGTTCCAGCTAAATTTATCATTTTCAGGACAATTTTATGATCATGGAAACGGCTGTTTTATGCTTGGCATTCAGCAGAGATTCCGAGATGCTCTCCTCCGGAGACAAAGACGGAAAAGTATGAATTTATTAAATTAGAAACAAGTAACTTAAATTAAAGTTTCCGTTTTAAGTTAAAAGTGTGGAAGATTCAGTCTGGGCAGTGTCTGCGCCGTTTCGAGAAGGCACACACTCAAGGTGTGACCTGCGTTCAATTTTCAAGAGACAACAGTCAAATCCTGACCGCATCATTCGACTCAACCATTCGGTAGGATGCCTTATTTCAAAATAGAAATCTGGACGTAATATTTTCCTCTTCAGAATCCATGGATTAAAGTCAGGAAAAACTCTGAAGGAATTCCGAGGACACAAGTCTTTTGTGAACGAGGCCACTTTCACAGTTGACGGACACAGCATAATCAGTGCCTCGTCAGACGGAACTGTCAAAGTGTGGAGCGTGAAGAGCACCGAGTGCACTGCCACATTCAAATCTCTGGGAGGCACAAGTAGTGCTGTGGCTTCCGGGACCATTGCTGACACCACAGTGAACAACATTCACCTCCTACCAAAGAACCCTGAGCACTTTGTCGTGTGCAACCGTTCCAACACGGCAACCATCATGAACATGCAAGGCCAGGTAAAAATTTTTCTATTGTGCTTGAAATTGATTTTTTTCACCAAAAAATTATAGATTGTGCGATCTTTTACGTCTGGTAAGCGCGAGGGTGGCGATTTTGTCTGCTCAACTTTGTCCCCTCGCGGTGAATGGATCTACTGTGTTGGTGAGGATATGGTGTTGTACTGCTTCTCGACCACCTCCGGAAAACTGGAGAGAACATTGACGGTTTGAAATAAGCTGACTCTTTGTGGCAACAATAATGACATATTAAAATATTTCAGGTTCATGAGAAAGACGTTATTGGTTTATCACACCACCCTCATCAAAACCTGATCTGTACGTACAGCGAAGATGGAATGCTGCGTTTGTGGAAACCATAAACTCAGCAATTGTAAAAAATTCTGTGTGTATGGACTATACGTGCTTATCACGTAATTGACTTTAGGTAATATTGATAATAATGAATGTGGAGTTTTTATGCGTAATGTGTTTATTAAAATCTTCGAAATAATATGTATACAGAAAAGTGTTTATTTTATTTACTTCAGGGTTTTATTTTTTTTTCTAGGAATTTAATGTAAATAAGTGACAATGAGATCGGAACAAAGTTTCGGCTAATTTTTCCTAAACAAATTTATCGCGCCGTTTGAAGTTAAATTAGTAGTGGGGTTGTTTGAGTGACAGAAAAGCACATTCCTGATTGGCAGGCATCAATGTTTTAAATTTAATGGGCGTATCCCATATGATTTCAGCACAGCAGAGACGCCATATTGGATTCGTAAAATACCGTTGCAGTTTCCCGTAAGTTGTTAGGGATTTTAATTGCAAATTATCTCAGTCATCAGGCACAATTTCCACTTTTCAAAATTACCACTGATATCCTGAAAGAGTGCTTAATCTTTTTCAACCACTCGTAGTCTACAAACCTGGCGTATTGTGTCTGAAAATATTCCTTTGTTTTCCAGTTTGACGCCTAGCCGAAATGGGCAACCGAGACGACGAATACGATTATTTGTTTAAAGGTAAAACTGCTTATACCCTTATTTTCTCTGTCTTTCTATGTTCGTTAGCTTTAGGGGGATATTGTCTGTAATTTAGAAGCACTGACATTTGCAATTTCTCAATCCTAATTCTGCTTTTTGCGTCTAAAAAGTTTAACATTTCCTGCCCCTTTGCCTGTAGAGGGGTTAATTTTTAAAATTTTACGCAGTCTAAAAATATTATTTTATTCTATTGCAATATAACTACGTTAAGCACAGACGTTGTCTCACGTAGGCGTACTTTTGAATTCCATTGACTTGACCCCAGGGTCAAAAAGGGGGCTTGCGTTGAACGATGGCGAATGTCAATTGCCTGCGTCGTTTCTAAACTGTCACAACCAATGTCATCTGCAGTGATGTAATTCAGCAGGCGGTGGTGACGAGTCTCGTCTCTAATCGCGTTACTCATTCTTTGCAGTGGTGCTCATTGGTGATTCTGGAGTCGGAAAAAGCAACTTGCTGTCAAGATTCACACGAAATGAATTCAACTTGGAGTCAAAGTCCACCATTGGGGTTGAGTTTGCGACAAGGAGTATACAGGTAAAATTTATAAATATTCACTATCATTTTTGAACTTTTTTATCAATTTTAAAGAAGTAGAGTTAATTTTTTAATTAAAAATCAATAGATTAAAAAAAAAAAATTGATAATTCTACAGATTTTTATGGAAAATGTTTATTTTCTTCAGGTTGATGGAAAGACAATAAAGGCTCAGATCTGGGACACTGCTGGCCAGGAACGGTACCGAGCCATCACCTCCGCCTACTACAGAGGGGCAGTGGGCGCCCTCCTTGTCTATGACATTGCCAAGCACCTCACATACGAACACGTCGAGCGGTGGCTGCGAGAATTGAGAGATCATGCCGACCAGAACATTGTGATTATGCTGGTTGGAAACAAGTCTGACCTGAGGCACCTCAGGGCCGTTCCAACCGATGAGGCAAGAGGATTCGCAGAGAAAAACGGCCTTTCGTTTATTGAAACTTCAGCCCTTGACTCAACCAATGTAGAAACAGCCTTCCAAAATATTCTTACAGGTTTGTTAGTTATCAAGTCGAGACACAACCAAAATTGTAAATTCTACTAGAATATGGTTTGTGACTTGGCCAAGAGTCCTGTTAGTTGCTTATGGGTGTGCTTTTTATGCTAGAAATCTACCGGATTGTATCTCAGAAGCAAATCAGAGATCCTCCTGAGGGTGACACTATTCGCCCCCAGAACGTTGAACCTATTGATGTGAAACCCACCGTAAGCGCTGACAGTGTTCGCAAACAGTGTTGTCAGTGAGGCTAAAAAGGTAAGAAAGTTTTTCCTCGCAAATTTTTTAGCTAATGGCGTCAATATTTCATTTGTAAGGAGTTCTTGTACAAAAATTGCAACAAAAAAAAACACAATTTTTATATGGTTTTTAAATTAAAGATAAACTTGTTTGTTGCAGAAATTTATCGTATCGTATCTGTGAAGCAAGTGCAAATTGGAGCTGCGGGCATTGGCGGGTCCCCATGTGTGGACGATATGCGGCCCATACATGTGGAACCTACTGCTGACGACGGAGGCTACTATCGTGTACCATGCTGCCAGCAGCAGTGATACAAATGCAACCAAATTTATTTTCCTATCAGCCTGTCATTAATTTGTAATTGCTCGCAGGAATACATTATTTCAAAGGCCTCGAATTAGATCAAACTGAGAGAAAATTCTAATTCCTAATTATTTATTTTTAATTTTCTAAGTTGTAATGTAAATAATACTGAACATTATTATTGCAATTATATTGGTTTGTAGTGATCGTTGATATGCTATTGATAGTCTATTACCAACTGTATGATTTTACTTTTCCCATTACCAGGCTCTTTGATGATTCAGCAATTTTTAAGCAACATTCCTAAGAGTTAAAATTAAGTGGATTTTAGGAGCTTGTCATGTTTGTCGACTGATTTGATATCAAAACAATTTATGCCGGCCGACTTGCTGGTCAGCCATTTTTATCTCATCACAAGCCTTGCCAAGAGCACATGAAAATTTATTCATCTGAATCCAAAATTGGAGGCTTTTTTGAATCACCCCTTTATTAAACTTATGTTGCCTGCTGTGACCACCTCTCTGCCCCGTACCTCGTAATTCTGCCTGTGAATATTTTAACATGTTACTTGAAGATCAACTCAACTTTCGACATTTTTAAAACAGCTACAGTAGTGCCATTGCTAAGTAATATTCTGCTCACTCCCATCCCCATTGTTAAAACTTGATGCTTTTCTTGTCAGAAGTTTGGACGAGGAACAAAAGTGTATATCATCTTGAATTGTAAGCAAAATTACATAATTGTACAACAAAAGAATAAAAGCAAGTGGCTGCAATAAGTTAAAAAATTAATTAATTTTTTATTTCTATTTAAGAAGCAAACCTTAATTAGAGGAATGTTAAGTTATAATCACTGACGGAATGCACCTTGTTGAGCTGCTTTGAAGATAAAATTCTTGACAACTTCTTCGTCCAGCGTTTGAAATCCGGTGCTCAAGACAACAGCAGTCATGTGGTTCAACGAGAAGTTAAAACAGAAATCTTCAAGGTCCTAGTAATTTTTTTTTCTATATTATAGCTAATGGGGTGCAAATTTTGAATTTAACCTTTGCGTCGTAGAGAATTGCGCTGCCATAAAGAGAAGCAGCATTTTCCACACTTATTCCTCGCTTGATAATCTGCTCACACCTCTTCTTTAATCCAGCCTCAAGGTAAGAGTTGGCAAGAACAAGAAGTTCTGAAACAACCCAAATTTTTGGTACCACTTTCTTGTGATTTTCCTTTCAACATTGAAAGGAAAATGTCAGAAACTCACCCAAAGCCATCTCAGGGGACAAGGCAACCTCATCAGGATACAAATATTTCAAAAATGCATGGTAAACATCATAACTGAACTGGTCTATGGTTAACTCACTATAACATGCCAAAACACTATAAAAATCAAGAACATGGCAGCCAAAAAAATTATATAAATATTAGTAAACAATTATCCATTGAAACAGCACACAAGCTATTTGATCTAAAAATTTCCCCAATTGCGTCCTACGGCATTGAAGAAATATGGCCTTTCCTAACAAAGACTGATTTTGAAAATCTTGAAAAAGTCAAAACAAGATATTTAAAAAGAGTTTTAGGACTGTCCAAGTATATTAGATCTAGATTTGTGTATGAATTAGTTGACACTGATCTCTTTGTATCGGACTTACAGGTAAAATATTCTCTAACTGAAACTGAAGCATTCCAGAAATTTTGTGTGTCTAAATATTTAAACAAACTTGAGATATGTGATGAGTTCTACGAGACAGAAACTATGAAGAATAAAAATTGGCAATGTGCAATGTTCAGTGATCGCCAAGTGTTTACGAGATTTGCCTGTCACGGGTACCACTATTTATTTTGTAAGAATAAAAATTTTCATTCTCAAGCGACAATAGATTGTGAATGCAAGCACTGCGGTAAGAAATGTTCACAATATCATATTCTTGAATGTAATGAACGAAAACTAAGCCTAAGAGAGGCTGCAAAAATCAAAATTAACTAATTTTGTACTTTGTAATAATTATCGAAACAAGCTTAATTGTAAAATTAATTTTAGGAAGACAAATTAGCTTTAGACACCCGTTGTACACCTAGTTGTGTTCAATAAATACTCTATCTTAAATTATATATTGAGTAATACTAAATCACTTATTTATAAACATACTGATTACCGATTTGTTTACGAAAAAACAGAATTATTCGTAATTATTATTGACCATTAGCGTCCATCTACTTAGAATTTTACTGAGATTCAACCCGATTTACCATGAAAAATCTATATTATTCTAATCTATGCTTCCATAATTAACCTTAAAATACAAACATCATGTGAAATTATCCTATTTTGCAATCAGTATTATACGATTTTGTGCTGTTTTTATCAATGATTTTATCATAGATTCCAAAAATTAAATTTCTTTTTATCATAATATTGATTGCTATTCAAATTAAATATGATACTAAGGAACAAATTTTGCAACGTAAATTAATAACTTTGACGCGAATGTATGCAACTCCAAAAAACCCGTATCAAACTTTTGTGTCTTATTGAAATATTTTTTTTGTTAATGATACACTTTTCACATTTTTTTTCAAGCAAGTCGTCTTACACTCATTTTTCTCATATATTTCACATAATATGTAATACTATAGATCATTACTCAATAAAATGAGTCAGTTACAAACGCTTCTTTATTTTTACTCGATCGATGTAAAAATTTTAGAATTGCAAAAGATAAGACCACTAGCATATTTTTGTTAAAATGCTCTCAACCACAAAAGAGACTCGATCGTCGAGGCAAACTCACAAAATTACCACGTAAAATTTAAATTGTATCTGCTTCGATCTCACCTGAAATCGGATTCATGTAATATTATAGAGGTAATTCATATGTAGAGGTTCGTGTTGCTAAGCTTAGCTCCATTGATTTTTCTACAATATTATGCAAATTTTCCCTCGTAACTATCTCCACGGTTATTTTGTAATTGATTTTGTTCCAGTTTCTCCCGCGTTATGCTATGGTCACACAAAAATCCTTTCTAGACACAATCCAATGAATATTATTTTATGTTTAAGACAATTTTATGTCAGTGTGAATTAACTGAAGATTTGAGATCCGTAGACTACGAATCCATGTTCATGTTACGTTATGCTGATTTTTTTTTCAAACAATTATTAGAGACAACACACACTATCGAATTGCATACAAAAAATTTTAATTTACAAAAAGAATGTAACAATTATTGCAGAGATCTGCTAAAACGTTTGCCATCAAAACCAAAAGAGATGTATCGTTTTATTTTTTACAATTAAGTTATCTCAATCTCGCTTTATTTTACACACAATCTTATTGATTTTATGGACATAAATATAAAATTTTTAGTGATCTCCTAAATTTCAAGTCAATTATATCAGAGGGCAATACCTACGTGATATTACCGTTTTCAAAATGTATCTTGAGAAAACTTTAATTGTCATTGATGTTTATTTCTTTTATTGTTACTCAGTCGTTCCATGTTTGAGAGAAAAAAATTATGGGACGAAGGGGGAAGATAGAATTCATTTAATAATTTTTACTGGAATGGAGGAAATATTTCAAATGAACTCTTGACTGGTCCGAGTATGGTTTCTATATGAAAAATTATCTGTTTGTTTATAATTTCATAATTCAGACACATTTTTGGATGAATTTGTATGCGCTTGAGATAATTTGACAGATTTTATCATAACTTAAAAAAAAACAATAAGATATATTTAATAGTATATATACATCGCTCCATTAATATAAAATCAATATTTTTCTGCAACACATTAATTTTTCAAAAAAATTTTCAAAAATTACACACACATCTTGAGACGGCAATGAATTCTAGGGGTAATTCTTTTTTCGCAATCTCAGTATTTATATTTTCCTTTTCCGGTTTAATTTAATTTTTAATTGACTTTGTGAAATTCGGACTCAATCGGATTAAATTTGATCTGGATAAAAATGGAAACAGTCGAAGCGGTGCGCCTCAGATGGAGCGACGTGGTTACAACGTCCGACCGAATTTTACCAAATCGGTCTTGCGCTCTATCTCTCTCAACCAACTAGGGCTAGGAGAGTCAGTGGCGTTGACGAAAGGAATCTCTTGATGAAAGAAACACTTTGTATTTGATAAAACTCACTCAAAGAGAAGGAGAGAAGCGGGAGGCTTGTTTTATTTTGGCCTTAGTACATTTTACGGATTCATGTTGTCCGTCTAGCTTTGTTTGATTTTAATTGAGTTTACTTTACATTAATTAATATTAATAAAATAATTACATTAATTATTTTATTTGAATTTAGTTTTTGATTTGATTTAATTTTAATTTAAACATTTGTTTGTGAAAGTGACATTAATTGTTTTTAAATTTAGAATTTAAATTTAATTTATTTTTAATTGAAATTATGGTCTCAATCTATTATCATTCGAAAGTTTCAAAACTGGAAATCTCATTCATTTGTTAAAGAATCCTATTTTCAAAGATGAGGTAAAAAGTGAAAATTTTACTTAAACTACATGAGCTATAAAATCTCAATGGTTTTGCACCAGACATTCTTAATCTAAGGAAAGTTAAAACCTCACATTATAATCACTACGGTATTACATCAACAATAAAAGATAGACATAGGTAAAAAAAAAGCTTGTGTATATGGAAATAATCATAAAATATTATGATCATCTGAAAGAATATTAAAAAGTAATGAGCGATGAATTAAATTCATTAATTAGTACTGTTTGGAAGTTAAAACTATTTATATGCAACGCAAGTATGATAAAAAAAAGTAAGTTGACGCGTCAAAAATGGAAAGTATATGGTTAAAAAATACATGTCTATATATTGATATATTCATTAATGGAAGTTATTAAAACTTTATATTTAACACAAGTATGATAAAAAAGTAAGTTGACGTGTCAAAAATGGAAAGTATATGGTTAAAAATTAAAAATGACTGATTAAAAAACAAAAATTAATTAAACAAAAGGAAAACAAAAACACAGAAATTTAGATTTGATAATGGATCGACATTACCGATTTAGCTTCTCTTATGCATTGATTTCACAATGGATCGATCAGAGTTATTTTGAACAGCACGAAGGACACATCTCAGCTTGCACCCTATCTCGCTCCCCAGCATGCACCCCATCAGCGCAGATCCCCAGCCAAGCTAGCGGGATTGTGTGTAAAGAGTGTCTATGAGGGAGGCGAATACAAGATCCCCTCTGCCTTTGTAAAGCATAAAATTTTAGGTAGGGGAGTGCAGAGGAGTGCATTCATGCAACGGCTCCCTCATAGACACTCTTTACACACAATCCCGCTAGCTGGGGATCTGCGCTGATGGGGTGCATGCTGGGGAGCGAGATAGGGTGCAAGCTGAGATGTGTCCTTCGTGCTGTTCAAAATAACTCTGATCGATCCATTGTGAAATCAATGCATAAGAGAAGCTAAATCGGTAATGTCGATCCATTATCAAATCTAAATTTCTGTGTTTTTGTTTTCCTTTTGTTTAATTAATTTTTGTTTTTTAATCAGTCATTTTTAATTTTTAACCATATACTTTCCATTTTTGACACGTCAACTTACTTTTTTATCATACTTGTGTTAAATATAAAGTTTTAATAACTTCCATTAATGAATATATCAATATATAGACATGTATTTTTTAACCATATACTTTCCATTTTTGACGCGTCAACTTACTTTTTTTTATCATACTTGCGTTGCATATAAATAGTTTTAACTTCCAAACAGTACTAATTAATGAATTTAATTCATCGCTCATTACTTTTTAATATTCTTTCAGATGATCATAATATTTTATGATTATTTCCATATACACAAGCTTTTTTTTTACCTATGTCTATCTTTTATTGTTGATGTAATACCGTAGTGATTATAATGTGAGGTTTTAACTTTCCTTAGATTAAGAATGTCTGGTGCAAAACCATTGAGATTTTATAGCTCATGTAGTTTAAGTAAAATTTTCACTTTTTACCTCATCTTTGAAAATAGGATTCTTTAACAAATGAATGAGATTTCCAGTTTTGAAACTTTCGAATGATAATAGATGTGTGTGTAATTTTTGAAAATTTTTTTGAAAAATTAATGTGTTGCAGAAAAATATTGATTTTATATTAATGGAGCGATGTATATATACTATTAAATATATCTTATTGTTTTTTTTTAAGTTATGATAAAATCTGTCAAATTATCTCAAGCGCATACAAATTCATCCAAAAATGTGTCTGAATTATGAAATTATAAACAAACAGATAATTTTTCATATAGAAACCATACTCGGACCAGTCAAGAGTTCATTTGAAATATTTCCTCCATTCCAGTAAAAATTATTAAATGAATTCTATCTTCCCCC